CCGAAACATTTTGGCACTGTTTCTGAATCAGCGCGATTACAAACGGAATCGTGGCCGCGGAACACGATTGTTTAGCAAGCATGCTTCTGATGTTGCGCATCATTAGCGCCAGTCTATCCACGCGTTGGCTATTTCGCGGCACGAAATCCGCTAAATCAACGACTTCTCGCGTGGAAATAAAGTTAATCCGATATAACATCCTTTCGTGTCTGCTTCTTCCGCGTCGCTTGAAACGTTCTTCGCGGAGTGATTTATTTCCGGAGAACGTTGAACGGGGTACGACTTAATAACGCAAGAACGCTAAGCGGTTTATTCGCGATTGTTCTCGTGGGTGTTTCATTTTCTCTCCCGTTCTCCTCCCGAGAACACCGTGTCTCCGATAAAAGATAAAGGTAAGACGACAACGACGGAACTCGATTCGCACGGAATCCGTGCAAGTCGGAGATTTGTAACGCGACAGTTGAAGCTACGTGCTCGTACGAACTAACGACGGGATGACTAACGGAGGCAGGAATCCTTAATATCCCGTCGTATTTTGTCTGGATGTCGCCCGACGTTGGCGTGACGATGCCTTTTGCCTCGGGAGTAATCGATTGGCCGTGCATTCGGCGAGGCTACCTGCCGGGACGCATCGCGCGAGTTTATTGTTGGGAGCAGCCTCGATTCACATGAATATTTCAATAGGGTCGCTCCAGACCAGATAAATGGACAGTTAGCGAGCTTTATTTTCGTTGGCCGCGCTTGGACAAGAGACGCGATAATTTAACGCGCCGGGATAAAGGACCGCGCGGAAAAATTAACGTTTCGACTCTTGAAATTTCCGAATATTCTGTATTCTACGCCATTCGTAGCCATTCCCCCGTTTCGCTCCTGTCGCGCGCTTCGTTCCGTTCCATAATAGAAATAAGTCCCGGGAACTCGACGTGTCTCGCTGATCGATATCGAATATATCCCGCAATGGCCGATAAAAACGGCATCGCGGCGACTGAATGAATAATGAAACGGTGAAAAGACTCACGCATGTGGAATTCAAGAGTCGACGTAACGATACTCTCGTGACAAATACAGGGTGGAGAGTTAGGTGACAACGTAACAGGTTCGTGCACGCGATCCTAGGCACACGTCGCGGAGAAACATTCGCGGAAAGAGCGACCGACTCATGGTCGCGAGAGAAGCGCCTGGAAATAGACGTTGGTCCCCTGCCATTTAATGCGCGATAATCTACTGCACCACGTAACTGCGCAGACAACGTTCTGACCACGAAACGGCTGCACGTTAGGCGAATCGTAACACTGGGGACGAAAAAGAACGGAACGTATCGATTTCACTTGCCATTCCTTAGCCGGACGATTCGGTGGTGTTCTCGGTTTTATTAGCAAGGGACGTTGGTCCTGTGTTCGTATGAAACCGAAGCAATTTCTCGACCCTCCCTATGAATTTCCCGTCCCTCGATGCGGAAGACACTTGACCCAACACCTTCGTAAAACGAGCCGTAAAGAAGATTTACAACGCTGTTATTTTGCAAAGGCTGGCGCGGTTGCGGCCGTTGTATGACAACAATTAGATCAACCCCAGCTGTGGCCTTTATTAGAACATCGAGCGTTAACACGGCCGACAACGGTGACAATAGCGTGCTCGGAAACTTTTGTCCCGCCAGGTTTCGTCCTTGGAGGAAATTAATCCAAAGAGAGCCCCGATTGTTAATTCGAGCTTCGACGATGAACCGATTTCCAAGCTCCGCGTCTACCGTTTACCCTCCCAGGTAGTATCACGGGACACGGTTGCACGGACGCTGCTGTCGGAGATCGGTATCGAGAATCGACGCTGTTCGATCGACAGTCGAATACACGCGTGAGAAAGACGCGAAGATCGAAAGAGCTTAAAGCGATGGTTTCTTCGGGACGCGATCTTTGTCGGCATGGCTGGGGTTGCTAGCCTCGAAGCTGCAAACAATTACAGCTTCGTTAAAACTATACGATTCGTTAACGATCGGTGCCGTTAATGAGCAGAGGATCGATACGATTTTAAGGATCGATAATCGTTTTTCGCGGCCGTACCTTTCGCCTTCTATTGTCCAGAGAAACTATCGACTCGTTATTTCCGTTTTCATCCGTCGCTTTATAGCCTTACGAGCGAAGGTAATCCTTAATAATCCTCGCTGCGCAGAAAACGTCGATTTAGCCGAGACTTACGAGTTCTCGGGCGCGCTTAACCACATACATCGCACAGACGATAATTAGATTCGATCTTAACGAGTTCCGGATCCTTGGTTTGATCGAGGGAAGTTCCGGAAGCGCGCACGGATCGCAACCACGGTATGAGCTAGCGATCGAGGCGACGAAATCGGAAACTCGAGCTCGTAAACGCTCGCGAGAAGACGACTGTTCGCGACAAATATGATTACGAGGTTCCTCCGTGTTGACACTTGCCTACGAGTCTCTAATTTCGTTCAGCTTCCCACGATACGATCGCGATTTATAGACTCCTAGGATGCAGCGTTACATTTAGTCGTGTATCATCGGTGAGATTCCGCGCCGGAGGGTAGCGCGTTGCTTTCGCTGGAGAAGCAACGTAGTAGCCTTTCCTCGTAAGGTGGTAGTATTAGTATCGAACGTAAAAATTTTGATGACCGGCGAAGCGAGAACCGAGGTTTCGTCGAGTCGTAAAGGCGGTCCATCGTTTCGCCTGTTCGTTACTTACACACGTTCCCTTCGGTTACGGATGGTTTCGTCCAGATGCGTGTACACTGAGCGAATCCTCGGGTACTCGGCTGAAAAATAAAAAGTTATTCGAGTTAGTTTCGTGATCGCAATGGAACAGGCGCAGTCGGAATACATCGAGGGAAGGAATATTTAAGAGCGAGCGAATTACGGTGACAAAATCGCTTAATGATACAGTGGCTGGCCTTTGGGTGCACAGGTAGATCCAAGAGGGTTGCATTTCGCAGTAATGACAATGCAGTAACGTCAAGGGACACTATTGTTTCCAACCGTGAAAACGTAACACGAAATTAAGCAGAATACAATTACGCTATAATGAATGGTCGTAATAGCCCAATTGTGTCGCGTTCTCAGGAATGTACAAGAGTGTGTGGATTGCGCGGTAAGCCAAGAATTGCGCGCACGCTGTTGTAATTCATGAGGCGACAACTTCTAATTACGCCATCACGATACATCATCGTGACAAATTAGTAATCCTGCGAGATCCACTTGACGATCCGGCTGGTTCTACAATTCTGTTTCGGTAGACGGCTAATTACCGCGAGTCGTTGCACGACAAAATTGCTAAACAGCCGGACCAATCGAGCCAGCAAAGTGGAACGTCATGCTTTTTGCTTGATTTTACTAGCGCCACGGGACACGTCACCTTTGCCGGAAATAAATTTCCTCGGACGCTTTTACGTCGGCAAGGATACGTGCCGGTGGCGTGCCCTTTGAAAATAGCGCAATTTCGCAGAGTTTCATTGTCCACCGGTCTAACGCGTACCCCTTGGTCATCCGAAAGTTTCCCGGACACTTCTATTCGGGCGAAGAAACAGAGACAAGAGGAAAACGAATGCCGCTATAATTTCTCGAAATCTTGAAAGGTTATCCGGAAGCGTTGTCCAAGGAGAGATAGCTTCGTTCCCGTTCTAAAAATTCCGTGGCTGACTCGCGCGACCATTCTCCACTGAAATTTCCTCGTACCCCGTCGCGTCTCGACGCATCGGGTCGTCGGGGAGTAACCGAGCGACGTCTAGTATCGGTAAGATTAAGAAACTTTGCCGCGTTTCCTTTAGCTTCGCCGTCCACGAGCTTCGTGGAATCTTGCCTGTTGCCTTTGGCAAGATATCACGAGCCATGCATCTTTGACGAAACTTTCACGCAGAAATGACAGTATAATTAAGGGGGGAAGAGGACCGGGATAAAGAAATAGAGGAGCCTGACCTCGTTATACGGGCCAAGTTGAGCAAAGTCGCGTGCTCGAATCGAAGCCGAGCAAAAAATCTAACGTACTCGTAAATTTTTCCTTCCGATAGACCGAATAAGAAAGTAATAAACGTTGCGGCTCTCGTGTATGCTCTATGCCCTGGATTTATGATAATACCTCGTAGTTCGTGTGTGCAGTGTAGCCGATATAAATTTTGGAATGACGGAAATAACGGTGTGGAAACTTTTTCCCGTGTTCGCCTAGAGTAATTACTTTCTAACTGCTACTAATACAGAATCGAGATCTGGCTATAATTTCTCAGTGACGGGTCTGCTTCCATCAATCGTCCATTCCGAAAGTTTCAATTGGAGTTTGACCAATTGATCAACCGTCGAGGGTAGGTACGATTTAAAGAGTAAACGCTCCTCCGTGCTGTTATTGGCGCAATGATTTACAATTCGATTAAAATTTTCAGCTCTGTTCATCTGCTCGTGCCGATTCGCAAAATCGCTTGAAATTTTCTACCTGGCCGAACCATTCCTTACCGCTTTTCGAATTCGTTAATGGAACGTTCGAATGGTCACGATCGATTTCGATCTCGATCCGGGGAACCTCTATCGACGTACCGTTTCTGTAAGAGGTAATTCTTTATTCGATTCCCCTCAAAGAACTTTCCTCCACCTCCTTTCTATCGGAAAAATACACCTTAAGGAGTGTAGTCGGAACGAAATTTTTACACTTACAAAGACAAAGGATCTGTTTGCAAGCCAATTGTAATCGTTAAATTTATTTCGTTCTCCGGGGAAGAAGAAAATTAGAAAGTAACAAAGAAAAGGATTGAACCGCAAGAAAAATGAGAATGATAAAATAAAAGGTATCTACGATTAACAGCATCTGTAAAACTACAGAGGTTATAGCATAGTTTAAGTAACGATTAAGCAACTTTGCAATCGAATCTTCGATAGAAGAAACTATCACGTAATTTTCTTAGCGAATATTTCCCGTATAAAAGTCTGATCACACGAGGTCTGTACCAGTAGTCACGTTACTCGAGACACGCGATAGAGGACGTGTGAGATTTAAAGGCATCGATGGACTCAAAGGTACGGTAAAGCAGAAAGGTAATTTGTGATTGGAGTAGAACAAAATTTTATCTCACGTTTGTTCGATTAATTCAGACTTTGTATCTAACACTGGTGGCCGTAACGATATTTGCCAAGGCGAGCAGCGAATTTACATTCGATTCGACTAGAGACTCTGATAAAAGTAAAGTAATGAGAACAGTTTGGAGAGATAACGACGACAGCCCAGATTATAAATTTAATAAGGGATATTCATCTGCATACAACGACGAAGATGATCGTGTCCGGAAGGGTCTCGCACACGGGGACTGCGAACACGGTAATATGTGCATGAGTATTAATAGTTCCGAAGAAGCATGAAAAATATTACAAGTATAAGAAGGATCGTTTGGTATAAGTAGATCTGACGTAAATTCGTTTATATAAAAGGAATAGAATCGACGCACTGTCTAGTGTTCTCGAAACCTAAATACCAAAATCGAAATATTTTCCTCGAAAGGGATAGAATCGACGCACTGTCTAGTGTTCTCGAAACCTAAATACCAAAATCGAAATATTTTCCTCGAGTTTTCATAATTTCCGCATAATCGATACATCTCTGCGGATAAAATAGCGAAATAATCGATAATTTGACATACTGACTTCTAGGTAAAAGAGCCGACGATAAATTTGAGAAATCGAGGGATAAATTAGAAAAAGAAAATGGCGGCGATGATAGGAATATGCAACGCGCGTCTGCGTCAGAACGGGATGACCGATCAAATCGTACCGAATCCGACGACGATCACGATGACAAACACCGATACGACTATCATCAAAGCCACAATTATTCCCACTGCCATCGATTAAGGGACAAGGATCACAACGGGAATAAGAAAAACGGCAAGCACGGTGGATTTCTTTGCATTCGGATCGTGCATAACCGAAAGGAAGTGAATAATAAACGCGACCGCTGCGACTATGGCGACTGCAAATATGGCGGGAAGCACTACGACGACGAATTTAAATACGGGTATGGGGATAACGAAAGAAAGCATGACAAGCACCACGACGACGAAGGTAGCTACGATGCGTACAGAAACCGTAAAGAGTATAATAGGGAGAGTTTTCTCGATCACGATCGCAACGAAGGTGTCGACGACCACGGGCCGTATTATCATTACGAATATATCCTAAGCGACGATAACTTCCATAAAGATTATCCTAGTTCCACGGATTACCACCATTATCGACACCGTAAGCAGCTAGATCACGATTACGCGCGCTGACCATCGCCATGGATCGGCTCGACTCAATTAATAGAATAACTATTATTACAGCGTTACACGATACACGCGAAAACTCGTTCCGAAATAGATTACGTAATCCCCAGACTCTCGGCTAATCAACGCGCATTGCGGAATTCGGTCAAACGTACCAAAAATTAATTAGCGGAAATAAGCACGAAGTAATAACTGCAAAAATGAATTTACGAATATGAAACTCGTCAAGTAATTCCTTAAAAAGCAGGTGTGTCTAATTTCTAAAAGCGTGTCGCATACCGATAACGCAACACGGCGAGGTAATTTTTCCGCGACAATTATGCGGAAACTTTCATTAACGGCCAGAGAGCTGTACGTTACGTAAAATAAAGAAGGAAGAATTTCATTCGGTACCATTACTACGTTTGTCATATTTTTACAACCCTTTGTACGAGCAGCGAGTAAACAGAGAAATATTTAAATTAAAAAGAAATTACCGTATCTGCCGTCTGTAAAATTGCGAAGAATTTTCAGCTTCGAGTAGAAACACGAGTAGTGTTTTTCCACGTCGGATCGGTATCCGGATTCTAGCATGACGCAGATGAAGAGAATGAACGAGAAGCAAAACTGGAGACGCGTCGAAGGATGGATAATCAAAGATTGATGCTAGCGCCTGCCGCGGTTCGTCCAATATCAGTCAGACCGGGTGATTGATCGGGACATCCGAAGCTTTTATAGGTAGAACGTCTAAAGATCGGCAAGGTTATGGGCGTTACGCGAAGGAAAGGTGAACCGGGTAAGAGCCGCTGGATCGCTTCTCTTTTAATTTTCGCGTCTGTTTTTCGCCCGGTAGCCACCCGCTCTCGACGGAAGTTGAAACGAAATTTGTAATCGATCGAGACGGATCTATACGTTCGCTTATTACCTTCTCGCTCGTACGATAAGTGGAGCCGACGAATAACGAAACCGAAATGCAGCTGCATCGGTGCATTAACCAACGCGTTGATTAATTAAAACGTCGGCTTCGAATAATCGATTTCGCGGGGAAGGGTGGCAAACATATTCCGCGATAATTAAAATCGAACCGATATCGAGAACGTTATTAATGCCTTCCTTTTTTCGTTCCGGTCCAGGAGAGATACCGGTTTTGCATTATTCCGTGTGGTATCGTTTATTTAACGATAAACCGAAAACAATATTCGAACCGACTTGCCGCGAGACCGCGATAAGTTTAATTATATGCAAAATTCTTTTTCCACGACGGGTCTTGACCCCCGTAATTCCATAATAAATTAATGATTTTCCACCGGTAAGCCAGCATCTCTCGCTCTCCATTATATCGTATCGGGCTGGCCGAACCTATCTGAAGTTTAATTAGACTTCGAATCCCTGCACGGCCGAGTTCCTACGTGGTCCAGCTGCGATGTGATCGCAAATTGATTACTTTTTCCTCGCATATCGTTACCGGTCAACGACAGTCGCTAATTAAGGGTTTAACGCGATGATCTATGAATCAACGACCTCTTCGAGCTCGTTCCGATACCAACATGCCCGATCGTGATACTCGGTGGGATGATACGCGCGTACGAATTATTCTCGCGGAGATGGGAGATTAGCGGAGAAACGTTTGCCTCGACGAGGAAATTTTTCCGAAAGAGATCAGCGAATAGAAATAGAATGGCCAACAAAGAAACAATTTCAGCGGTAGATCTAATCGAACGGCGCGAAAGCAGACGGAAAATCTCTTAAGATTTAATCAGAATCCCTGGACATTCCGGTCGTCCATGGGGAAAAAAAGCAGACGGAAAATCTCTTAAGATTTAATCAGAATCCCTGGACATTCCGGTCGTCCATGGGGCTGACCTTTCGGCCAGCTTTTCTCCGCTGAAGCTTTCGAAAAGTGCGCAGTCCCTTCAGGCGGCAGCTGATTGCTCCTGGTCATTACGTTGCGTTCGCTGGATCGTCACCAATCAGAAGTTTAATTAAACGGGAAACTCTGCAGGAACCCTTTGGGCGATACATCATGCGGTTTCGGTGCATAAGAGACACCGATAGCACGTGCAACTATCTAATATTACAACTTGCTTCTAATTCGTGCTTCTGGATACTCGCGTGGCCGTAATTTCAACGGGTTGCGAGTAAGTCATGATTCATTTATAAGCACTGCTTTACCGTTTAATCCGCGCCAAGAGATATACATATAGACGTGACTGGTATAAAAATAATTGCCCGAAGATACTCTTTGCTCGATACACCTACGCGATATTAAACCGGGAATACGCGAGCGAGAAACGGTGTTATTTTTGCAAGGTTCTCCGAGGGAATCGCTTCGGGGTTGCACCCTTGACAAATCGTCGATATCGCTCTTGGTAGAAGCGAGGTTCGAGACGAGATCGTCGAGGCTAATATCGTATCGTGGGAATTAATCTTAGTCAGGGTTCCCAGCGTCGCAATTTCGCTGACGATTTATTAAATATTTAGCACGCGTTCATCTGACACGGATCAAGCACGCGGATACGGATCTTTCGGCTGGACCGCAAACGAGGATTTCGTATGAATTATCGATCGAGGAAAAACGAAATTTATCGTTTCGTTCCCGTTCATAACTCGTTGGCTCATTCTCGGCCAATTCGACGGCATTAGGATTCGCATGGACGTTCGTTTAATCCAAACGTTCATCGGCACTGTTTTGGTAGCCATGGATTCACGAGGATTCGAATAGAAACGCGGCGTGTACACGAAACGCACGCTCACGGGTGACACGTTGCAAGTGCTTTCACGTTGCGTCCTATAGAATTACAAAGGCTTTGATCCCTGACTTCGACAGAGTGCTTACTGCTGCTAGTAGGATTACCGCAAACGCGTATGGTCGAACCAGCAATAACGCGAGACGCTCGAGTGTATTAAGTCTCCGCGAAGTGACATATATCCGGCAGAAATTTTGTCGATACTCCTTGCTTTCCATCTGCGATACGGCCGTGATAACTCTGACGAGTGACACCGGTCGAATAAACGCGACCGAATGCGTCACGCCTCGCGTTTAACCGACCGAGTCCGGGCGAGGTTTTAGCGACGATTTTTACCGATATTTCGAGAACAGAAACCGGACCGTAACGTGCCACCGATGGAATGCCCTCGCGGTTATAAATCACCGATACTTATCGATTTTCCGCAGATCGTTTCCCTTTAATTAAACGCGAAATTGCGTATTTTCCGCTCACCGTTGATAAATACCGTTTACGCTGCAAAGCAAACAAAAGACTGCGGTTTGCGGTCAAAATTGCGGAAAACAAGTTTAAATAAGATTACCTTTTAAACGGAGAAGAAAAGGACATTTTATCGACTCAGAAAGGAGCGCAATTCCACATCGTTCCTTTGGTTTACCCAAGAAACCGCGCAACGAACAGAGAATCGAGGAGCTGCTTGTGAAAACTTGTTCCTCTCGATGAACGCATAATGGCCAATTCACGTCACACGTGTCGTCCAAGCTAGTAGCCGGGTCGGAGGATTAGTTAGGCGCCGGCAAATTGACATACGCGTGTCCGGACGCGTGTGTACCTCGCCACGAAACGCGTGCACGACATTGTCCGGTGACGAGGAATTCGATTGTATTCGATCAACAGGTCTTAAGATCACGGCGACGAGTAAGCGAAAGTGTCGCGCTTGGCCGGGCAACCGTGACAAGTGCAACTAAATTGGTATCTTGAACTTTGATTTACGCGTGGACGCGGCACCCGTGCACGTGGTCCCTTGACAACTCGCTAACGCGTTAATCTCCGATCGTGACGCGCCATATTTGCACCGCGTGACCGTGCCTCTGCCGATGCGCCCGAATCGTAAATTATCGTCCAAACTATCGCAAACGAGTGAGAAACTCGAGGTGGACGTTTCACGGACCACCGGAGATTTCTCTCCGTCGAGAGGGGGAGAGAGAGAGAGAGAGAGAGAGAATTTTACTAGTTGTTGGAAGAAAACCGATTTCGCCGTAACGCGTCTGACCGCGTTCGAGCTTGTGTACACGGCAAAACGGTAGACGCTTACATAACCGTCGATCTGTCGGCAAGAGTGTTTGCAAATTGTTTTTCACCGCGTGTACCACTTGTCGTACGTGGTACAGGTGAGAATTCTTGCCACGATCTCCGCGCTCTTTGAATTCGATCTTGATTTCTTAGACGCTCGGGACCCCGAAAGGGGAAAGAAAGAACGAAAGAAAGAAAGAAAGAGAGAGAGAGGGGGGGGGGGAAAGGATGGAAGAAAGAATCGGGACTCGGAACGGAAAGCGTATTCTTGGCTCGAAACGAAATTCAACGTTTTCGGGAGGAAAATCACCGGAAACGCATCGAAAATGAAGATGAACCGGTTCGGTATTCTCGACTCGTCGTAATTGCTTTCGACCGTGCTACGGTAAAGGGAACAGGGAAGGATCGTTGGCAGACACCGACCACTTCCGTATTTTAATAATAGAAAGACGGTAGCGTGGATGCAAATGAAACGGTATCCTGGCACATTGGCCCTTAATAGCGCGCATTTTTAACGTTTCATTGCTTTGCCGTGCTTCGCGAGTCACGCTCTGGAAACGCCTGACACAACCGCAATAACGCGAAAATAATGGTCGCAATTGCGTTTCCTTATCGTTACCCGTTTTAACCTTCCTTGGCTAACTGTTCCTCGGAAAAAATGGCTCGACGAAATTCCGTTTGTCGTACGACTTCGCGGATGGCTGCCCGCTGAAGCAAGTGTTTCGACTAAATGAGAAATTTCACTGAGAATTTTAATTGAGCCAGCCGACGACTCCGGGGCAATGAGCATTCAACGCTGTTTCGGGTCTACTCGCCTTCGTTCCTTTCTATTGTCCCGGCGTTTTATTAGGGGCGAAAACTTGCGCGACCCGTCGCTGCTTTTAAATCCAGCTCGAAAGAACTTGGCGTAAGCGCGTGGGACGAATACCGTGCTGAATTACCAAAAGAATTTCTCCAATTTCGGACAGCGGCGGAACATCGTCCGCGTTTAAATAAATCATCCACGGAGTGCAGCCGCAGGTGAATAAAGTCGGTGTCACACGCATTCTTGTCCACGGGCTCGTACATCACGGGAAACGATTCGGGCACGGGTGTGATACCGAGCCGGCGACGAAGCTCGAGGCAACAGGACTGCTCGCTGTCACCGGACCAGGTTGCGAAACGAGGGAACCTGTTCCTCTCGAACTCGGTGCATTCGTTTAATCGTAAAACAGCCAACGGTACCGGTTGCCTCGCGCATCGGCTTGACCCAGATCGCCTGTCTGCCGCAATTTGCACTCGATGCGCTTTGCCCAAGCTTTCCGGAGTATGAAAGCAGAAGAAGTGGTATCGAAGGAGTTCGCCGAATCATCGTACCATCCTACCACTTCTGCGTCCGATGCACCTTGTCAATTATGCCCATTCAGACGGCAACGAGGGGTTAAAGTCTTAGAAATTCTAGCAGTCGTTCGGCCAACGTCGTCCGCCTTCCGGATATTACCGAATAAATTCCGAATTTTCTTCTCGTCGTCGGTGAAAAAAATTAATCTTCGGTCTGGGATACAGTCGAAAGAGTTTGGAACGAGCAACGAACGTTGAATTTATTGCATCGGGAAGGCGATAACGGGACACGGCGAGACTTCCCTCTATCTATAAGAAAAACGAGAAAATATCGAAACAGCGCTTTTCCATTTAACCACACTTATCCCCTCGTATTCTAAATTTGATCACGGTTATGATCCTTTTATTTTCATCCCGAATCATATTATCCCCTATAAAGGATCAGATAAAGAGACCGCGCTTTCAGCATGTACATATTCGAGGTATAACGGCAACGTGACTGGTATATATTAGTCCGTTTCTTTCTTTCGCTCCCGATAGAAAAGCTGGATATCGTTCTATGCAGCTTTTTGGAAAATGATCGAACGTTTTCGTTCGTCAACGTTATTTCTTCGGCAAATCGCCCATTTTCGACCCGTAGAATTTACAATCGCGTTTCCACGATTGTCGCGCGATCGCCCGAAAGCCGAATATATACGTGGACGATGCAAAGCTGTGCCTCTGCACGAACGAGATGGATTGTCTATCGTCATCGTACGTTCATCCAACGATTTCGCGTCAAAGATGTTGCTCGACGATGAAGCAACTCGAGCAAAAGTATACCTGTCAAAGAAACTTCGTTCCTTTCAAAGGGGATGTTCGGTCTGGATTTTCGTATCTCCGTTCCGCGGATGAAACACACGGATCCACTTCAATTAGCGCTTTCGATATTAGCATCGCTAGTCGCGTACCCGTATCGAACCGCGAGAGTATAATTGTTCCGGCCAAAGGAATAATTCCGAGGGAAGATAGGTGTTGTAATTGGTCTTCTGAAGATGAAGTGCCTCCGCATTGAATAGCGAGGAATAATTTACAGTGCATAGAGCAAATACAAACAATCTACAGTGTATGCGCGGAACAAACGATCGTTTGATCCGCAGATGTCGACACCAGTTACCCACGTATACCGTTCTAATTCGGTATATTTATATTTTCCACGAGGATATTCTTACCTTTGAACGTACCTTCTCTCCTTCCTCGCTCGAAATACCATGAATTATAATGCCTTTTAATTCGCGTTGACCGAACCGTACACGAAGCTAATCGATAAACAGTGGACGATAACGATTTTGTACCCTGCATCTCGACTCTGGCTCTTATTTGGATCCGGATCGTTCGTAAAGAGGTTTAATCGTTTAAGCTGGCAATTTTGGGACAGAGGGATACACACTTTGTCCGTGGAATCCCGGCGATTTACGCGAAAAAACGTTGGTCGAATTTTGCTGTAGCCAACTTCCGGTTGGCTTCGTTTCGCGAAAGCGGAATCTTTCGTGTGCTTCACCTGAACCATTCAACGACCCGCGTGTCAACCATTTGGCATCGGACGGCGTAATCGACCTCGAGCTCGCTGTCTCAACCAACGACATCCGCCAACGATTTTATTCCGTATACGTCGATTAATCTCGGGAGAAACGACCGGTACGGCGAAATTCTTTAACCGATCTTCCGCCATTGGAATCCTGGGAGGACGCGACGCGAACCGAGATACGCTTAAGCATCGAGTGGCTGCTCTTTCGATCTCGATCGAGAACGCAATTCCGCTAACGGCCCTCGATATGTTCTCGCGGCAACGTACGCGATACGGCTGGGTGAAAGAGGCGGCCAAACGTAAATCGCAACGTAAATCGTAATGAGACATCGACAAACCCCCGTAGCTAGCGAATCGGGCTGGTGCGCAACCGCTGTCGCAATGGCCGTGGTGCCTCGAATAGACCAGAAACGTCACGGATAGCGGGCGATGCGTCGCGACGCGCGCACAGAGATCACCTGACCGATTAGTAGGAGAATTTCATTTGATAAATCGGAAACGCGAGAGACAGAGGAAAAGGGGGCAGAAATTTAACCGTTCGGATTTAAAGGACGAAATACCATGGCGACGGAATACGGACCGGTGCTCTCGGTGTAGCTTGTTATTTTTCTGATCAGCCCCAGTCCTCTTCCAGACATTTTCTTATTTTCTCACTGCTTCAAAGCGGCTTCTGTAAACATCTACGAGCAAACGCGTATATATATATCTTCTAACCCTTTACACTCGAGTCTCGTTCTTCCTGTTTTGGTCCGTATTTTCCGGTCTACCTGTTAGACGCAGCCGGCTCCAGGGAATCAAGGCTTTTGATGTTTGACTTCAAACACGTCGCTCGAAGAAGCTTCGCCGAATTATACTTCCGTAAAGATTTCAAACGTTTCGTTCGCCAGTCGTATCTCGGTTACGTATAATCGGAATCGGCGGCCGAGTCGGTACTGATTAACACCGGTGATCCGGTTTCCAAGCGGAGGTCGAACGGGTAGGATTCGGAAGATTAGCGCAACGGCAGTTTAGAAGACGCGGGTCGATTGTTCGAAGCTGGGACAGGCTATTGGATAATCGGCGTTTCTCGCGAAGGTATTCGAAACTCGAACAAACAGCCCAATAAAGGAATTAAACTGCGCTATCAAACGACCGAGACAGGCTGCTTTTCCAGCGGAGAGAGAAGGAGAGGGTGGGAGAAAAAAGGACAAGGTTCGAGATGGAGGCATTTAAAGTAGATCCGACACGATTCAATCCGAGCAGTCGAGTATCCCGAGGGGTTAAGAATCCAAATAAATCCCGACTGGAACGGAGTAAGCGGATTATTCGATCCGGGTGTCGTCCAGCGACGCCGGGCTTCGTGCTTTCGAAAGGAAGCCGCTTGGCTTCGTCTTTGGCCGCCTCTGGCAGAGCAAGGAAGCCACTGTGGCCAGGATCGCTCCACGGTATTCAACGGAGATCCACTGATAACTGCTTACGCGTCATTGGAATCGAGTATTATCCGAGCAAAGCCCGCGATTTCGGAGCACAGAACGCGGATCGACTCGCTCGCGTCCGATCGATCTCACGATCCTCCGATACGTCCCGCGACGCGGTTCTCGACGTCGTTAATTCAACGTCGGAAGGACGAGCGTCGTCGAAAGTGGCGAACGAAGAATACACGGTTCCGTTGCAGCGTCCTCGTACGTGAAAGGTCGCGGAGCGGAGACGAGAGAGGACCATGTCCAAGCGAAATTCACCAAGGTGTACGCACGCGTGGACACACGTATGTACACGCGTACGCACATGCACGGCCGGCGACCACGTAACTGGCAGATTCACGTGTGTTTACGAGCGACGCGTATGCACGGTGTGCATCGCGCCGGTATAAAAGGCTAGAAAACAGGCTGGAAAGTTGCAGTTCTCACCTGACCGCATTTAATACCACGATGAGAGACACGAGGTTCAAGGTAGCGTATCGGAAGCGGAATCTTCGATGAAGGTTTCGGGAGAACCGTGCGTCGGAGAAAGAGGTATTTCGCGAAAGCGAGTAGGAAGGGACGATCGGAGAAGAAAAATAGACGAGGGAGGAGAGAAAGTGCTCGTCGGAACGCGGTTTCCTTTATTCTCGAAAGCGAACGGTGCGAGGGAAAATCGGAGAAAATCGAGCAAGAAGAAGCTTCTTCGGAGGGTCGTTCCGATTTCGAGTAATTTATGAAAAATACATTTGGCACGGGCAAACGAGCGTGTTCCGAGCCGAGAATCGCCGTATTCGCGAGAAAGGAGAATAAACGATTGCGAGAAGGCCGAAGATGGCGGAGAACGTGGTAGCACGGTTGCGAGAGCGGTGTAACAGTCGCGTCGCGTAGCGTATGGAACAGCGAAGCAGACTGTTTGTTATTCCGGGTTCCACGTCGGGTAATTAAAACCAACTGGCATTCTTTTTACCATGATTTTGCTCGTTTGCGTCCGCGTTTGCCACGCTTTAACACTTGTTACAACGTTACAAATGAAACGTAATTGGTAGCTGCGAACGAACTGATGGACCGTGACAAGAATTATTTTAGATTGCGCTGATTTGCACGTTGCTTCGTTCCCGCCCCTGTTTGTCCGGATACTTTTGTCGATATTTTTCCGCTGAATCGTTTTCAATAATTTCGTTTGCCACGGTAAACGAGCAAACACTGCGGAACTCGTACAAAAGAAACGAAGAGAATCGAATTTCAATCCACGATGAAACGCGAAACTTTTATTGGCTCGTATAATCGACCAGCGAGTCTGTTTTTCGCGTCATAGTCAACGCCAGCGCGCTGACAATCGCCATAATTGAAAACGGAACATCTCAGACCCGACGTTTTCGTCTCTTTTCTCTCGTTCCCTCTCGCACCTCCGAGTTCGATCTGTATAAACGGTATAAACGCAGCGTATGTACCACCGAGAAGCTACTCTCGCTTTGACACGTTCGTGCACACGTTGGTACACTCGTTCGTACAGAACGGCAATTAAGGAATCGAGTCGTACTCGTGTTCCTCGTCGCCGTGGAATCGCTCGCTCGCTCGCATGCCATTCCAATTTGTCGCTTTCGATTTACGAATTTCGAAAATCGCGAGAAAGAGCGATCGCTGGAAAGTGGAGCCGTCGCGCGTCAGTTACGCCTGGATCGCCGGTAAATCTTTCAGCGACCGATCTTTCGGATCTCATCGGGAGAGAAACGTCGGATTACGAGGTATTTTCGAAGGCGACTTTTTGCGGCACAGGTCGGTATCGCCTTGACCATCACGCTGGCTCTCGGCCATCCATCACGAGCCGGTCTGATATCCCTGGACGGAGAGGCTGTTGGCGAACACCAGGATCCCTTGCAGCACGGTTCACTGGCCAGCTCGTACCTGCAGTTTCACGGGCCTGTCGAGGGGCCGGTGTACGAGGTGAAAGTACCGTACGCGGTGACTCACGAGGACAACTCGAACGACTTGCACGGGCAAGAGCAGCAGGAGCAAGGCTACGCGCTCGACTACGTGGCGCATCCCAAGTACGAGTTCTCGTACGGCGTGGAGGATCATCGGACGGGCGATTTCCACGGGCAGAAGGAGACGCGAGACGGTAAGCGAGAGCGAAACGACGTTTCCGCTTCTATTCGACCACGTCGCGACGAGCGTAACGAATTTTTACGCGCTCGAGTTGCATCGGGAACGTCGTTCGTGCGAGAGCCGCGAAATTTCTCGCGAAAGCGCATGCAGCTCGACCGCGAGACACAGTTTGCGTTATGAATATGCGGAAAGGTAGCAGAACCGGTGTCCGAGCAACGGGTAAATTCACGAGAAGGATACAGTCGAGTCTCGGCCGCGAGCTCCGTGTTCCATTCGTCGGTATTGTTAGATTGAAACGCAGCCACTTCGGGCAAAGTTTCACCGGCATCGAATTATGTCTCGTTACGAGTTAGGCAATCGGTTCCCCGACTTCCGTTCATCCGCAAACGTTCCTTTCCGCAGGAAGCAGCGTCTCCGGTCAGTACAGCGTGAAGGAACCAGGTGGTGGTGTTCGGGTAGTCAGCTACCACGCCGACAAGGATGGATTTCACGCCGTGGTGCACACTTCCGGCAAGAACGACCACTCGGCCGATGTCTACGCTGGCCGAGGTCAGCTTCAGGTTCACGATCATCAGGCCGAGGCGCAACAGGAACAAGACGCCCACGATTACGTCGCGTCGTATTCCGACAACGAGGGATATTGACGCGATCGATCGATCGGTCGATCCACCGTCTTCGTTTGTACCTGGTTATAACGCTTCGCCGTTTCCCGTTTCTTTCATACCAAAGGCTTCCCTCACCGCGTACCACCGCGGAGTTTCGCCGACGCGAACGTTTATATCGTAGATATACATCATGTTTACCAATAAAACACACCGTGTCATGGCGGTACGTCTTTCGTGGAAGCTCTCTTTGCATTTTGCCCGCGCTTCGCGGTATTTATCCCGATATAATACGCGAAGATCCTTCCGTACGACGAAACGTCAACGATACAGCGGTGGGCAGACGGTGCCGAGGAGATAAAGCGTTACGTCGTAATTATTTGCGACGGAAGGGAACGGGGGGCCGGCGTGGAAAGGAGGTCGATCGTCGATGAAGCGAACCTCGGCTACACCCGAGCACAGTCACACGCGGCACGTCGTTAAGGCGCGTCTCGTCTGATCAATTTGATACCAACGGAACGTCGTTATCGCGAGTGGATAAAGACAAAAGGAGAAAAGGAGCGAAATGGGGCGAGGGTGGCGGAGCGGGCTGAGCGAATAACAGTAGAGGAGATAAAAGGAAGGCTCGTCCGCGCGCTAACAATGCCTTGAATGCATGCCGATAGAGGGAGGGGAGAGTGGAAACAAAAAGAACAGCGAACAGACTGGCGAGCAGATAAGGACTGGTAAGAGGCCGACACCGGCCTCTTGCTACCACGTTACATCGTTAAATCGCTAACGATCGAATTGACTCGATGTCTTCGCCACGAGGTATATATATATAACTGGAATATTGCCGTCGCATGGCTATCGAATCGGAGGGGTAAAGTACCGTGCAGAGATAATTCGTTGGCTAAGCTGTCCGACTGACTGTAGACTAGGTCTTTGCGTCTTTATTTCCACTGTCGTCCAAGTCGATGGTGCCCACGAGTTTATGAGGAGTGACAGAGAACGCGAAAGGAACACGTAAATTCCTAGATCCGCCGCGAAAACAGGAGAGTTACTCGATGGAAACAAACACGCGACGTTCGGTTTTCGATCCTTCGCGATCCAAGTCGCGAGGCGTCGTCGAGAGTTGCGACTGTGACGCGTTGACGTTGAGAATCCAAAAGTAAGGTTTCCTAGGAAGAGAATCACGCCTCCTGTTCCTCTTGTTCCTGTACCGTTGAATTTGTAGGAGCTCGACAAACGAATCATCCCTGCGTTGTAAACGCTTCACGCGGAAAGCTTCTAGGCTATAATCGTATGCGCGTCGTTAGAGTCGCGCTAACGACTGTATAGGTGCCGGAGTGCCGCGCGATATTCCGGAAAAGGCAGTAATTTCCGGCGGAAGCAGACAGCTACTAATTACCCTACGTATCGCGGAACGATTACTCGATCACTCGTTGCCGGTGATCGAGCGTCGTCGCGCGATTTCACCGCGAAGCCGTGCAAAATACCAGCTTCCTTTGGCGTTGCACTCGTGTTAAATTACGACGGAGATGCTGCCGCGTTGGCCTCGCTGATGCGGTTAACGAAGTGTCGATACACGGAAGCTCCTCTTGCTCCTCTTGCTAAACGCTGTCTCAGAATCGTGGCAAAATTACGACGTCGATCGTTCGGCGGCCTGTCGAAAGCTGAGTCTCGCTTTATTCCCCCTTACATTCGACCAAACTTTGACCATTCGGGAAGCATCGGTACAATGTATCGTAATTTGTACAAACCTCTGGTCCGCCCTATCCGTTTAATCCGAAACGGCGATTCTCGATCGGTCGAGCCACGCGTCAGCTTCGAAGCGAAACCGCTGCATTAGAGAGTTTCGAAAAGTTTCGATCTCTGCACCGACGTCCACCTTCCATGAATAATGTTCCACCGTGAATCCTCATCCTATTCCCACTCGTTATCTCTTCCGTAAAAGCAACGAAAGAGAAAACATCTCGCCACGATCGTCTTCCCGAACGAACACGTTCCTCGACAAAGTCTTGGCAGATCGCAGCTGAAATTGATGGCATTCGCGAGACGTCGTTCACGCTAGAGAGTGACGCGGATGCAATCGTCACGAAGTTCGTTATTCCGTGTCATTGTTCCGAATAAAATTCGCCGGCCGCCGAATCGATAATCGCGGACGTGGGTCGCGCGAATTGCCCTCGTATTTGCTCTGCCGATTAGCGCGGAATCGTGCGGACATCCGACTTTTTCGCGCGGCTGCGACGAGCAAACTGACGGAGACAATACGCGACCGGCGGAGTATCTTAAATTTGCACTCGCGAACGAGATTACGTCGGCCGACAATGGAGAATTCACCGCGATTCCCTGTAATAACGATGTCGATATTACAACGTAAATATTCGCCGAAGCAAAATACGCCGTGTTTCCGTAATAAATTTGACGACAGGCCACGGTGTGTTTAATCCGAGAAGAATGTGGGTCAACGTTGCGTTAAAATGGCTGGATCGCGGAGTGGTACGACCGCTTATAAAAATAGCATAAATGTATTATGCGCGACTGTTCGCCGGTTCGGTCGGTTTGGTCGGTACGATCAACCGTCTCTGATCGAACATCCTGGTTAATAATCGTGGAAACATTGCCGAGCTGGGAGCAGTAGAGTTTACCATCGATGCGTAATTCATAAGAACGTCGAATAATATCTATGGCGTAGGCCTGGACGAGCGCGTGTATACCGATCGATACCTCCATGCCAACGATGCGACGAGGATTAATCGATTTCGTGGGAAACGTTTCGCGAGAATGGATAAGAAAGCAAGTGGCAGACTTAACGAAACGACGCGGAGACGATAGTCGGTGGCCGAGGTCGGAGAACAAGCGGAACCAGTGTGCACGCCAGTCGCCGTTTCGACGCTGCAATTATAATGAATCAACCAGCAAATGGACAGCACGGTAGGAACGCGAACGGATAATCAATAGGTTTGCCAATGGAAGCGTAGAACGGTGGACGGTCGTACGGGTGAGTGGCGTATTTCAATCGACCGGAAACGCTAGGAAGCCATGGGTCGTGGCAATTTTGCGTTTCGTCCAACGTTCCCGTTTGCGACACTGTTAATTTGTTAACTGCTAATTTGCTCGAACCGCGGCCAATCACATTTCGTCGAATCGCTTGCAAAAACTTTGGCTCGCTGTAACGGCCAGCCTTTGTTATTCGCCACGATAACGGCAATTATTTTTACCCGGCTCGTTTCTGGCTCGTTTGCCCGACCAATGACGGATGAATTTACCGTTGCCAACGTGATTGCTTCCGTTACGTTGCTACCACGCCGCGGAAATAACGCGTTAATTCCGCTGTTACCGCGTGCGGCTAGTTACGTTTAGTTTCGGAGTTTGTTCGAAAGTAAGTACCGTTTGCACCGCCGATATTAAATCGGAATGTACGAAAGTGGCCCGCGTACTCGCACCGGGGACCGCGAGTAACAAGGGCTTGGCAGAAAAAGGGAAGAAAAAAGGAGAAACAAGCCACGGAAACGAAACGGGATGAATTTTATTCCCGATTCCGCGATATTGCCAGCTTTGAGCCGCATTCCGCGTTTTCCACTGTAAGTTACGCGAACTTTTCAAACCAGACCTCAAAGGAGCTCCCTCTCGTTGTTCCTTCGCTGCGAAAAATCGAAGCGTTGCAAGTAGCTTCGGGTTATAATTAAAGAAACGACGCGAAGTAGCGGAAGCGAGCAACTTGGCTGGCACGCGCGAGCAGAAGACACGACGACGTATCTCCTCTCTGTCAGAAGGAGAATAACGATGAAAGTTGGCAAGAGTTGCGTTGAAAAGAACACAGCACCGAGGACTAATCGCAACTTTCTCCCACGACGGAAACACACCGAAAGAGAATGAAGTCGAAATGTCACCGCTTCTCTTTCCGTCTGACCCGCTGGGCAATAAAGTCGTCCATCTTTCTCACGACTGTCCCTGCTAAGCTCCACGCGATGCGAGACGAACATTACCCGATTTTCGTACATGCACCTGGAAAATACGGCACCAGCTACGCTTGACGTACGTCGAACGCGGGGTTCAATTTGTACGGTGGATCGTATCGAAGAGAAAGAAAAAATGCGCCGCGCGGAAACACAGCCGAGTACTCGAGGGACGTGGAAATTGCCAAAATTTGCGATGAAATACGTAATTTCGGAGGCACGCGTAACCCAATAGCGGACGAGAGGATCGAGTTTAGAAGCATGCCCGGAATTTATTTATGAAAAACGTATACGTCCCGACAACGAGCGCGCCGCCACCGCGCGTAGATGCAATAATATAACGTGTACTTTCCATCTAGGAACGAACACCGTGGAAGAAAAACGACGAGAACGCAGCCAGAGAGGAAGGACGAGGAAAAGAGACAGAGAGGGAAAAAGGGATCGCGGTATGACCTATATTTGGCCTACGGGTCGCAGGGTAGAGCTATTGATTCAGTTCGCTCTTAAACACAGCCTCCGTTTCATTTCGTTCCAACTTTCCTGCCATTTCGCGATTACCTTCCTCCTCGACGCTC